TAAGCCATATTTTGCTATGGTTTCCTCTACCAGTTCATTTTTTTTTCTCCTCTTTCTATCTGGGCTCTTGTCTTTCTGGTGGTAGTATCACAAACCTCTTAAAAAAGCAAGTCTTCCTAGTTCTCTTGTCTTGTCTCCTTTGTCATGGTGTCTGGAGCAAGTGAGGAAGAAAGCTGCTCATCTTAATATTCATAGTTATGTTGCATTTTCTTACTTGCTGTTAGTTTGGGTACAGAGGAACATCCATAAGTAATCCACAGAAACCTACTTTATCCCTACCATCAGTTCTGTAACCTAAGCCACTCTCCAGAAGTCCCAGTCTGGTACTACTGTAGGCACTCCCTTACTAAGGTGCTCAGCAAAGTATCGGTATCATTTACTGTTGCTGTCTTGCTCCTTTCCCAGCACAGTTCCTATCTGTTCCTGTTTCTTCAGCTTATCTGCCTGCTGCTTACATCAAGAAGGCTGCTGGCCATCCAAAAGTTGTTTGAGATGGCCCTCTTGGAGGGAAGGTGGCAGGTAAAACATTATGGACTTAACCCTGCCTTCGTTGATTGATGCCCCCTATGTACCAGTTTGACTGTTGTGTGTAAATACTAATTCCCTGCGAAGTTCTTTGCCAGCAGAGCTGAGGCAGGAGCTTTGATTAGGATATGCTAAATCACAGTCAAATGTGCATGTCTGTTTATTTCTGACTGCCAGCCAGCCTTTTGTAGTAAGAGTCTCACAGTTGGATTTTCCTAGGGAGTCATTCCTAGCTCTCACATGTTCTGATAAAGTGTTGAATCAGATTGCAATAAATTCTGTGTGTAAATTAATCTGAGGAGGGGCCTGGGGTACACTGGAAAACCACAAGTGTTCATCATTTGCACTGTGGTAGTACCTAAGTCTTGAAATGAGTTTGAGATTGGCCATTAGTTATCTTTGGAGTGCCAGCTGAAAAGGCCAGGAAGTTGAAGAGACAAATGGGAAGAGGACATTACATGGTACATAATACATGGTCCCATAGCATGGGACATTACAGAACCCAGTGTCTGAGTAAGGGAAGGCATGCACTAGGGGAACCGACCTTTTTAGCAGGCATGGCACAAATTAACCCCATACCCTCCCCAAGTGCCACTCTGATGGTGTTCCCTGCTTGAGCTGCTGCTCTGTATTCTGATTCCTGGTCCATGCTCCCTGTCTGATCTCCTCTGTTTTCTGCCCCCTGCCCTATCTCCCACTGCGTAGCCTGCCTATCTCTGGTCTGGTGCATGCTACACAGAGGCTATACACATGTGCTGCTGGTTGGCCATCTCTGGTGTAGGACATCCTAGACCTACCCTCCAGAATGTCTGAGATTCCACCTAACTTGGTGGAATTTGCTTGGTGGAATATCTACAAATTTGCTAAGTATGCACTTGATACCATTGTCCAAGTCATTAATGAAGATATTGAACAATACCAGACCCAAGACAGACCCCTGGGAAGCCCCACTTGATGCCTCCTCCCAACTAAACATTGAGCCAGTGTTGACTATTTTGGAGCACAGTGATCCAACAAGCTATGTATCCACCTTGCAGTCTGTATTGTTCATTGTAAATGGGAATGTTGCGGGGGACAATTTCAGAAGCTTTGCTAAAGTCATGGTACATTACATCCACTGCTCTCCCCCATCCATGGAACCTGTCACCTTTATAGAAAGGAATCAGGTTGGTCAGAAATGCCTTGCCCTTGGTAAATCCATATTGGCTGTTTCTGATTACTTTGTTCTCTAGGTGCTACAAAACAGATTATTTTAGGACCTGTTCCATGATCTTTTGAGGTATTGAGGTCAGACTGACAGGTCTGTAATTCCCCAGAGCCGCCTCCTTCGCTTTCTTAAGAAGGGGCACTATATTTGCCCGTTTCCAGTCATTTGGGACCTTACCTGACCTCTAAGAGTTGTCAAAGAGAATAGCCAGTGGTGCTCCAATTACCTCAGCCAACTCCTTCCATACACTAAGGTACATCCTATCCAGCCCTGCCAACTTCAAAACATCCAGTTTCTGTAAGTAATTCCTAATCCTTTCTTCCACATCTTGAAAGCATCTGCCTTATCTAAGTAATTTCTAACCTGCTGTGCCACTACTCTACACTTTTTGACTTCTTCCCATAGGCTATCCAGCTGCACTTGTCATCTGGTAGCTCTCACTATTTGTGAAAACTGAAGTAAAAAAGGCATTATATATTTCAGTCTTTGCATCATCTATAACTAGATTGTCTTGTGCATTCAAGTGAACTTCGGGTTCTTTGGCCATCCTTTTACTCTACATACTTGTAAAATCACTTTTTATTGCCTTTCATATCCCTTGCCAGTTGCATCTCAAATCATGCTTTGGCGTTCCTAATTTTCAACCTGCACAGCTGTGCAATACTCTTTTACTAGTCCCTAGTACTATGACAAAGTTTTGATTTTGTTTCAGTATATTGAAACGATTTCTGTCAAGCCAGGCTGATCTTCTGTGGCATTTCCTGTTCTTCTGTTGCATCAGGATAGCTTGTTCCTGGACCTTTAAAAGGCCCTCTCTTAAAGTACAGCCACCTCTCCTACACTCCTTTTACCTTCAGACTTGCCTCCTAGGAGATCCTGCCAGTCAGTTCCCTGAGTTTGTTGAAGTCTGCTTTTCTGAAGTCTAGTTGGGCCTCTCTACCATCTGTATCAAAAAGTTATCCCCAAGATGCAGCACAAATTTGCTGGACTGCTTGTGCACTCTTGTGTTTCCCTCCCAGAAGATGCCCTGATAATTAAAATTACCCATCCAGGTCCTGCTATTTGGAAGCTTATGTCAGTTGTTTAAAGACGGCTTTATCCTACTCCTCCTCCTGGTTTGGGAGGCTTATAGCAGATTTTCACTATGATTTTCACCTCTTTCACCAGGAGAATACCCTGCTGCTCTCCCCTCTAACCTTTATCCAGAGGCTTTGAACAGGTCTACCTTCTGCTTCATACTGCACCTCAGATGGCATGTACATCTCCCTTATATGTAGGGCAGCACCACCTTTTTCCCTTGCCTATTCATCTTGAACAAGTTATACCCATCTAGGACTCTGCTCCAGTCATATGAGCTATCCTGTCCCATCTCCGTAATTTCAATTGCAATATAATTCCTTGCTTGTACTAGGACCTCTTATTCTTCATGTTTGTTCCTTATGCTTCTCCCACTAGCACATAAGCATTTCAGGTGTCTAACTGATTAATTGTCTTTTCTTCTCCCTGAGAACATTGCTAAGGTTCTGCTATTACCACCCCTTACTAATATTTTCCCAGGTCTCCTCACTCATTACTTACCCCTGGGCTTTTTTTCCCCCGATAAACCTAATTTAAATCCTCCTCCACATGTTGATCTCCAGGATGTGCCTGCTTCTAGCCAGGCCTTTGCCCTTGATTGGAAGGATCAATGAGAGCAGCACCTGGGCCCCTGCACCTTCACACTTGGACCCAGAGCCATGTGGTCACTTTTGATCTGCTGAAGGTTGCCCCTGGTGTAGTATCTTCAGTGCCTGCATGGATGACCAGCATGGGATAATAGTCAGAGGGCCAGTTGAGTCTTGGTAACCTTTCCATGACATCTTGGATGTGGACTCCTGGCAGGCAGAAGACTTTCCAAGCCAGCAGGTCTGGCTGGCAGCTGGATACCTCTGTGCCCTGCAGGAGGGAGTTCCCAAACACTACCACTCACCGCTTCCTTTGGCACCCATCAATTCTCCTAGGGGTGAATGGCTTGGCTTCTCCTGCCACTGAAGTACACTTTTTTTTCATCTGATGCCAGGGATTCGTACCTGTTTTCCAGCTAGACAGCCACAGATTCAGAAGAGAAATGCAGTCTGTTACCAGAGGTGACAAGCTGCCAGCTTCCACCTTCCTGAGTATTTCTCGTCTTGTCTTCCAATGCTTTCTCTGGCTGTTCCTCTTCCATGATGTGGGAGGTCTCTTTGTGCGTTCAGTCAGTGAAAGTTTACTGCTCCCAGATGCTTCCTAAATCCATCTGCTCTTGCAGCTCCCTTACTTGATTCCTGTGAGAAACCACCATGAGGCACCTCTTACATCAGGGGCGAGCAATTATTTTGGGCAGAGGGCTGCTTACTGAGTTTTGGCAAGCCATTAAGGGCCGCATGACAGGCAGCCAGGGGCAGATAAATATTAATTTTCTAAATTTTTTAGGCAGCCGGACAGAATGGCTTGGCGGGCCGCATTTTGCCCACTCCTGTCTTACATCACAAGCACTCCTCCACCTGGCTGTCCTTGGCAGGAGCATGCAGGCTGCAGTCTCTGCAAAGCCAGACCAGAACCTGGGTGGAAACCTTGGTGGTCATTGGTCATGCTTGGACAGAGCCTCTACAGATACAGGCAGAGGATGAAATGGTTGTGGCAGAAACTTTGACGTTGCAACATCTGCCATCCATCCTGTTGATTCTCCTGCTAGCTCCTTCTTTCTCTTTCACTTGTACTCCTGAAAAATTCCCTCTTCTTTCTTTAGCTGCTTCCACTCAGCAAGCTTGTAAGTAAGAAAGTGTCCAGGCAAACTCACCAGTGAGCTCCCTACTCAAACTCCTGTTTCCTTGCCCGTTCACTAGTCCTGGTGTTGGTGGCTGCTGCATATTGCTGGGTTCTTTTTGGCCTAGCCTTTCTGCCCTACGTCCTTGTTCACACTGCAGTTAGCTGAGCCCTGGCTTAGTTGAGAGCCTCTGCTTAGTCCTGCAGTCAACCCTGCAAAATGTCTCCCAAACTGAAGCTACACCACAAAACACAAAACAGGCAGACCTTCCCACTCAGACCCTCTCACCAGGCAGCCACAGCTTCCTGCTCCCTTCCCAAGCAGGACTCCCATTCAGATTCCCCAGTTTGCTGGGCTGTTCACTGGTCCTGGTGTCACTGGCTCCTGTGTCCATCAAGGGTCAAGAACATTATGTGCAGTGCTGCCTGTTCCAAAGGGACCTGCAGCCTTTAATGGTTTCCACCTGTGCTTCCTGTTCTACAGGCTTTCGGCTGAATGCCTCCTCTTGGCCCATGTTCCTCCTGAAGACTCTGAATGGGGCGGAGATGGCTCCAGTCCGGATTTTTCACAAGGTATCATATTGTGTGTGGAGGGCCATCCTTGCAGTTTGTGGTGTTCTTGCTACAGGGCAGTGAAGTCAGCTCTGTTCTCTAAGCTTAGGAACTTAGTCTACAAAAAGATGTTGCATGTGTCCAGGGTAAATCATTTTGTCCCAGGACAGTGCATTCATTCAGACATTCATGTCTGTTGTCCTGGGGTAATCCTAAAAAGGTTCACAGGATAAAAAGTATTAATGTTTTTTCATGGGTTATTCAAAATGCACCTGAATTGTTATCCCAGGATTGTAATCATTGAATCAATGGCAGAAAGTCAGCAGTGCATTCAGCTACTCCCTAAATCCTGATTAGAAGGACAGTGTGTGTACATGCCAATCTTGGGATATTTCTGTTTCTGGACACAATTTCTATTTCTAGAGAAACACAAGCACAACTTGTCCAGAGACAAATGTCTTATAGTCTTGAGCAAGGAAAAAGTTGGCATCTAGCCTTGTTACAGTGCTGTTATACTAGGGCAGAGCAGTCCACTTTGCTGCCTTGTTATTGCAGGTAGGATGGGGATGCAGACTGTGACCTGCAGAGGTAGAGTTCTCAAAGTATGAGAAACTTGCTACTCTTTCACTCAGGCTGCGGGTGCCATTTGAAGTTAGGATAGGCAATATAAGCTATTTCTCTTTGCTAGTAGGATTCTATAAACTGTTGTAATGCAGTAGAAAAAGGGAAGAGTGCATATCACTTCAAGTGCTCCCTGTCACAACCCTGGCAACATATCTTAGCTTGTATCCTCAGCTGAGAATTGCACCATTTAGTACAGTAGTGGTTGAAGCAGCATTTTCTGATTGGAAAGGACCTGGAGAAATCATCCCTGGATATGTTGAATGGTACCACTTGATTTCAGCTTCATTAGATTATTAGATAAATTACTGCTTTGTCAGGGGTATACCTCAATGGTTTGGGGAACTGAGTTCAGAGAGATGCTTTGCCCCATGCCCTCCTCTGGGTGGTTGTTCCTTTGAAGGGTACACATCTTCCAGTCAGGCAATTTGGAATGAGGTTTTTTTGCTTCATTATCCCATTTCCTTTCCTTGTGCTTCTCTTCTGCTACAGCATTCACTGGAGAGTGAAGCTGAAGATTTGGTGAGGCAGCCTGCCCCATTCAGCCTCTCATCTGAAACTTTTCCCTCCAAGTCGTGGTATATCTGAGCTTTTAATACAGTTAGTATGGAGCTGGGTTGTTACCCTGGGTAGGAGATGGAAAGCCTCCCTTTCCACTGGCCTGCCACTGGAGTTGTTTGAGCAGCATAAAAAGCCACAGGCCGGATTGAAGAGATGCTTTTTAACTTGAGTATTTCCCCTGTCCACAAGTTACTACAACCTTGGGATGTAGTACTCCTGACTAGGCAACCTGCCTCACTAAGTAGTGAAGAGTCATATCCTTTCTGGCTCACACCCACTGAGTTCAGTCTCAATAATTCTTCCCTTTAAGACTGCCTAGGGAGGATGGACTGGTTGGAGATAACGGAGTATGAGCACTGCATGTGTATCACAGACCTCTGTTCCTTGGAGCTCCGGCTCTTTTTCCCATAGCACACTATTCCCGGAAGAAACTGTCTCAGGGTAGCCATATTGAGTTATAGTACTGGTTGTATTTGGTCCAGCATCCTACATATAAAAGGGATATAGGGAGGAGCAGGAGCCAGTGATCTTTACTTCCACTGGAATCTGGAGTCCCAAGGACAGTAGATACAAAATGTCAGTATGTAGAAGCCTTACCTGTGCTCATAAGTGGCACATACTTAAACCTGGGGTTAGATCCAGCCTTTAGCACAAGAAAAAAGCACCACTTCCACTCATTTACATGGGCCTATCTCAACTGCATCTAGGACCAGCTGTTTTGATGATACGGGGGGGGATAATCCAAATAGTGACATGAGCTGCATCCTTTTTGATCGCATTTTTTTGAACCCTCTCTTGTAGGAACCACCATCTCCGTCACAGAACTTCTTCAAGATGGGCATGAAGTTAGAGGCAGTGGACAGAAAGAACCCTCACTTCATCTGTCCAGCCACCATTGGGGAGGTGAGAGGTTCTGAGGTCCTCATAACGTTTGATGGCTGGAGAGGTGCTTTTGATTACTGGTGCCGCTATGACTCCCGGGACATCTTTCCTGTAGGCTGGTGCTCACTGACAGGAGACAACCTACAGCCTCCTGGAACTAAAGGTGAGAGTCACATCATAGTCCAGACCTGTTCTTTTTCTGTCCAAACTGAGCAAGAAGCAACAAAACAGGTGGGAATTGACATCTTGGACTGCCAGATTCTGTTCTTGCTCTGGTATGGATTCTGTGTGTGCCTGGAATTATCATTGCCCCTCCCTATTCCTCAGATTCCCCATCCTGCAGTGGGAGATAGTGATAATTGCTTCTCATAGTTTGCTCAGAAATACTTGATGAAAAAGGTCCGAATATCATTTTCTCCTTTAGGTAGGAGATTATTAGTAGTATAAATATTTAAGATTTTATTGCCAGTAAAAATAGCACGAGGGAAGAGACCCTGAATTCATGTGTGTTTGTAGGTAACAGCTATTTCTGGAATGGGGGTAGAGTGAGGGGAGGGGGAAATGATATGGCTAGGCTGAATAAGATTACTCATCTCTTCCCTTTCCACATGTTTCTTCAGCACCTGCTGTGCATCTCCAAACAGCACAGGTTCCTATCCAAATCAAAGAGGCTGGGACTGTTGGGAATATATAAGAGGGATTAAAGCGACAAGGGTCAGGAAACAGGATTTTCTTTTATTTAAAGGACTTTGCTTCCTGGAAAAGACCATTCTTATTCAGGGCCTCGACACATAACACATTTCCACTGAGTAATTTACATCTTTTTTTAATCCTAATGTCAGTTATGCTAGGATCTGAAGTAGGCAACCAACCAGATTCCCTAGGTAGAGGAACATAGTATTATAGGTAGGGGTCTACACAACTCGAGGCAGTGGCCAGCCGATTTCATGGGCAGATTGTGGTGCCAGCCGCCACTTTCATGGTCTTATCATGGTGGGGCCCCCATGCTTCTGATTAGCTAAGGGGCTCTGGTGGCCCAGCCCTCTCCCCACCACTGATTGATGGAGAGGGCTGTCCATCAGATGATCCCACCCATAGTGGGTTGAACTATCAGTGTTGTCTGCATCATGTTTCAGAAAGGTCGTTTACACTAATGTGAATGTGTCATTTGTCTAGAGCCTCAGGTGAGGGGTTGCATCTGCTTCTCCTGTACAACTGGCTTGCTACAGGTTTGGCTTCTGTGAACCTCCACCTCTTAGAGGGTTTCCTAGTGCTTAGAAGCTACATGTTGGCTGTTGAGGGTCTGTCATGCCTGTATGCTGCCCTATAACTGATACCGTCCTAAAGAATTCTGTGTGTAGGGGCTAAGATTTATTTAGGAAAGGCCTCTTTCTGACCAAACGCTTCGGAACTACTTGTGCTTCTGGAGGTTGCTGTGCTGCAGAACCAATAGGCTGCTCCTCTAGTTTCCTTCTTCCTATCTGTGACCTAAAAAATTAAGATACTCCTTTGAATGAAGCCTGTCTTATTCAGAGGCTTCAGACTTAGATGTTCCTCCCAGATATCAGTAATCTGAAATTGTTTGCTTTACCATGGAATGAGCCCATGTATGAGCTCCCCTTAGATTTGGAAGACCCATCTGGCTGATGGAAACTGAAAAAGTTCATTTTGAATCTCTGCTTTCAGTGTAGGTGACCTCAATGTCCCTAGCATCCTCCTCTCTTCCTGCTGTTTGTTTGTGTTTTGCATGCTGTCTACCCCTAAGCTTTCAGAGAGGCTTTTACTTCACAGCCAGTGCTTCAACTCCGTAGCAGGAGGTGCCCTGCATTTCCCAGACTTTTTGAGATCTGAGCTTGTCTGGCTTCACAGCATTTCACTAGTACAGCACAAATGGCTAAAATCCTTCTAGATGTTGGCTGGAGACCTTTTGGTTCCTTATTGGTTCCTTTTATTTAGGCTAGCAGAGCTTTGAGAAGGGCAGAAGATTTCAGGTGCAGTGGGAGCTGGTTCTGTAGCAGGAAAGGGGACTTCTTCTCTGAGCTGTAATTGTTAGCCTGGGGACAAGATCTCTCCCTTCAGACTTCTCTGTGCTGTGAACTGAGGGAGAGAGTGGGCCTGCAAATCAGAGAAGCATCCAAAAATAACACCTGCTCTAAGAAAACTGTCAGTTTTGAACAGGCCCAGGACAGATGCTGATTGGTAGGTATCAGTGACAGGCTTTTCTTCTTACATTTGCCTCAGTAGGACCTAGCATTGGAAAGTAGTAACAAAATGTTCCCACAGCCCCAGGATGGTGTGCTTCTGGATGTGAGATGTACATAGCACTGGCCTAGGTGGGGCCATTTGGCAGTAGTCAATCCCAAATTGCCCATGGAGGGGAGCTTGTAGGGCAATTCTGGTGGATGTGGTATTTCTGTAGAGAGGCTACAGTCGCATTCAACCCCTCCCTTGAGTAAAGTTTCTGCTGTTTTTAACCTAGTTTTCCAGCATGAGGGAGAGGAAACTGAGGCACACTGAGGTAATATGATCTCTCCCAAGTAGACTGGCTCAGGATTCTCTTTTGAGTATTTTGCTTACCTCTTTGCAGCAATATTTTCCTTACCTAGGAAAGAAGGAAGAGTCCTTGTCATGAGTTTTCCTTTCCTTTGGCTTTACCCCAGTAAGGGGAAGTCCCTAAGAACCCTTTCCTTCTAACATTCAATCTTTTACCCCATCCCTTCACTGGCGACATGTAGGGAATGCACATGGGTGGCATCTGTGGGTGGTTGCCGACTTCTAGTCTGTACTTGCCACCACATCCAGCCGCATCGGCAGTGTCTGCTGGAGATCCCCAGTTACTGCCACCATGCTCCTGCTGCTGCCAGCTCCTCCGTGCCCCACCAGCCGCCAGGGGCACACGCTGTTCATGCATCCTTTCATTACTAAACCGGAGCTTCGGAAAGGAAGGGATGAATCTGTGCATCACTGTTCAATAGGGCTATGTGAAGCTTCTGCCACCAATTCGATTCAGAGGAGATTTGGCCTGATTTGGTGGCTGAATCACCGAATCCGAATCAAATCAGGAAACCCATTAATAGGTTCAAATCGAATCTGAAGCCTCTGAATTGGTTCAGAGAGATTCGGTGATTCGGGTCAGCTGAGGAGAGGCAGGCACAGCCAGGCAGCTGCAGGTTCTCCCACGGCTCCTCCAGCTGTGCCTGCCTCTCCCCAGGTTGGGGGGGAGGCGTGGGAGAAGCCCTCATGGCTGCCCTGTCCAGACTCATCCCCAACCTGGCCCAGCTGGCACTTTGAAGAAGAAAAAAAAGCCCCGCTGTGGGGGCTCTGGGGCCTCCTGGTAGAGCCCCCTCGCGCAGCCCCCGCACCCTGATCACCTCACCCTACTCCCTCTGCCTGACCCCAGCAGTCTTGGAATCAAAAGAAAAAACAAAACA